GCGGGGTGCCAGGAGCCAGAGGGCAGGCGTCGACCTCTCCGTCCCCTGTCCGGGGCTCTGTGCCCGCCGCCCGCTATTCCTGCGCTTCGACTCCTTGGTTCTAGTTCTCTGTGTCTCTGCCGCGTCTGTCTGTTTTCCCTGTGTCTGTCTGTCCCCTCTATTTACTGTCTCGCCCTCTCTCTTTAATCTCTTCTGTCTCTGTCTCCTGCAGCGTTGGTCTTCCCAGTTCTCTCCCAAGCCCTGTCTCCCTAATTGTCTCTCTGTCTCTGTCTCTCTCTTTGGACTGCCTGTTACTCAGACCTTTGATATTTATCTCTTGCTCCCCTCTTTCTCTTACCTCCCCTGTCTCTCTACCTAGTATCTCTGTCAATCTCGTCTCTGTCTCTCCGTTCTTGAATCTGCCTGATATCTCTGTCTCTCTCCATCTTGGTCTCTCTCAGTCTGTCTCTTCCCACCTTTGTCTCTCCTTGTCTCTCTGTCCCATTTTGATTTCTATCACCTTGTCATATTCATTCTTCTCTCTCTCTCTCTCTCTCTTTCTCTCTCTGTCAGGTGGCTCTCTCTCACTGTCCCCCATCTCTCTCTGTTTCTTGGTCCTTGTCATCCTCTTTGGCTCAGTCTCTGCCTGTCCTCCATCAACGCCCATTCCTGTCTCTTTGGCTTTGTCTCTCTTGCTCTGTCTACCTCTCCTCGCCAATCTCTGAGAAAGCTATCTTTCTGTCTTTTTCCTTTTTGGCCTCCCTGCACTTCCCTGAACCCATGACCATCTCCCCTTGTGTTGGAGGTTGCAGGGGCAGCAGGGCCCAGCAACCATAATGCCCTCTCCCACAGGCGGCCCTTTCTTCTGGGCCCCGCCTGGTGCCAGCTCCCCCACCGGTGGGGGGACTGCGCCTGGAAGCTGTGATGGAAGCCCTGCAGAGGCAGCAGGCAGCCAGACTGGCCCAGGGGATGAGACCATTGGCCCCTCCACGCCCACCACCACCACAGCCTCCCTTGCCTGGCCCTGGGATTCTGCAGGCCCTTGAGAGGGCCTCAGGGAAGGTTGCGGCTGAGAAAGAGGAGGATGCCGGAGAGGATGAGGAGGGGGAGGAAGCTGGAGCTGAGAAAGAGGCAGCTGAAGAGAGTCGTCCAGAAACCCGGGGGCCCAGCTCACCTTCCAGCCAGCCCCCTGGACCTCATCCCCATGAGTGGACCTACGAGGAACAGTTCAAGCAGGTAGGAGCCCCTCACTGTCAGGCCCTCTTCTTCCTCCTTTCTGAGCCAAAGCAGAGCCTGGTCATTAGTAGCTTACCCACCCCTGCTGCCCTCTGCCCTCTACAGGATGGAAAGACAGAGACCGAGACCTGGAGAGAGACAGTGGAAAGATTGAAGGATAGTGACAGGAAGGGGGAGATAGGCACCCAGAGACTCAGACACATGGAAAGAAGTGCATAGGCAAATATTAAGAGGTGCAGGAGACACCCAGAAACATGGAGGCCGACAGATTGGAGGCTTTTGGTGAGGTTAGAAGGGAAAGTGGGAGGGATGTAGGAGCCCTTAAGAATTCTTCTGAGGGTGGGGAATCTGGGGACTAGGCATTCTAAAGTCAGCAGCATCCTACCCTAACTTCTCACACACCAAGTCACAAGGTCATATTGGGCTGCATGCTTCTGTCTTTAGAAGTAGAATGGAGGTTGCCACTCTTTTGCTATCCCCCTCATCTCTTCCCTGTCACATTCCCCCCATCCAAATCCTCTCACTGCCTGAGTTCTGTGGGTGACAGTTTCCAGCCTGTGATGGCCACTACAGGTGCAGAATGGCCAACGGGCCACCATGCAGCTGGGAAGGACAAGATCTTATTCACAGGGCCATATTTGAGTGAACCCATCTGGATGTTATTCTAAGGCACTACTCCAGGCTGTCACTATGAAGGTATTTGGCAGGGCTGTGACTCTAGGTGTGCTATTCTGGTGGTGTTACCTGTAGGGCAAGCACGTCAAACTCAAGGCCAGTGGGCCGCACGCCTCGTTTATTTAAACAGTGTAGGGTATTAGTCTTGAGTATTTTCCAGAAATGTTCATCTGTGGTGAGTAGTCTGCGGCATTAGTGTATAAAGGAGTGTTGCTCAGGACTGTGTTACTCTGGAGATATGGCTCTAGCGACTGCTTCTCCTGGGTATAAATCCGGGGGTTATTGCTTGGAGAGTGTGTATGTTATTTGTGGGCATCCATCTAAGGGCTCAGTTCTTGTGGGAGCATAGATCTAAAGGTGAATCGCCGAGGTTTGTGACTAATGGGGGTTTTTACTGAGTTCTTATTGGGGGATGGAGTGTTACCTAGAGGTGTTACTCAGGGACTCTTACTCTGGGGTAAATGACTATTACTCTAGGGATTGCTCCTCCTGGGTGGTATTTGGGAAGTGATATTGGAGGTGGGGCTCTGGGTGGCTGGGAATGTGTGGGATGACCCCCTGGGCCTTTCAAGTCCTGACCCCACCGGTCCTGGGTGGTGCAGGGCCATTGCCTCTGTGGCAGCTTCTGCAGTGGGAAGGTCACTGTCCCTGGAAGGAGATCAGACTAGATGGTGGGGCCCCTGGTTTCAATCCAGGAGCTTCTGAGCATCCATCCTGCCTGAGGGATGGGTTAGAGTCATTATCCCCAACCCTGGCAGAGATGTGAAAGGCAAGAAGCCCTTGCAGGAATGACCAAGAGTGAATGAGGGCCTCAGATATATCTGTCAGTTTCCTCAGTGTGGAACACAGCTCCAGTGTGACTCCCTCCCTGCACTCTGCACTCCCGGGAGGAAGCCGGGCCTCCACAGCTTCCTCTCTTCCCCTACTCCCCAGGTGGGTGTTTGACCTGCCCAGGGCACTCACTGTAGAGGGCCTCTGCCTCCAGGGAGAGAGAGCCCAATGTCTGGGAGTTCACATTTCAGATCCTACTTACCCCTTCAGCTGGGGACCCTTATTCAGGGTACAACCTGGGTTGGCGTCCCAGGGGGAGGGAGGTTAGCGGAGCTGGAAAATGACCTCAGTCCTTCCCCAGCTGTACGAGCTCGATGCAGACCCCAAGAGGAAGGAATTTCTGGATGACCTGTTTAGCTTCATGCAGAAGAGGGGTGAGTGTGGTGACGTAAGGGAAAGACCTCCATTTGCCAGGTTTGAGGATGGGAGAGCTCAGGGTTTAGCCCCCAGTCTGGGTCCTCTCTGCAGAGGCCTGAGCTGGGCAGCACCTATCCTTTGGGCCCTCAATAGCGTCTTTAACCTCTGACCCTGCCCTCCTCCTCCACCCAGCAATTAATTAGTGGCCAGCCCACTGGCAGGTTAATGAGTGTGGGATCAATTGGGAAGGTGGGAAGGGGAACTGGTGGGGGGCTGGCCTGATTGGAGGGGGGCTTCCCAGGACTAGGGGGCTGGGAACGCCTTGGTCCTCTTTTGCTGACCCTTCTTCCAGCCTCGTCTCTCCCCAGTTTTCCCTTGCTTCGGGCAGGGGACACCCAGGGTGCTCTGCAGCAGAAAGGACTGGGATTAGACTGAAGGAAGGACTTCTCAAGGGGTAGGCTGAGAGCTGTGTGAGTTGGGGCAGTGGAGGAGGAGGACTCAGGGTGGGTGGCAGTCCATCACTGAGGCTTCTCCCCAGATTCATGGGTCCAAAGACTGACTCATTATCTCTCTCTACAAAGCTAATTAACTCACTCCGAGCGTGGCCTGATAAGCTGCTAATTAACTGGCTGCACTGAGCCCCCCTCCCCAGTGCAGAAGCTGGCCAAAGTCCCTCAGGCCCCCACCCCAGGCCCAGCACCCCCGGCGGATTCATTCCTAAGGAGGGACCCTCACTGGGGCCCAGATCCTTTTGCTCCCCAGGGGGACCTAGTCTCTGTGGTCCCAGTGTACCCTCCCTGCCCCTTCCTTGAGGTCTCCCCTCCACTGGGGGGTTGGGGTAGGGTGGTTAGAACAGACCCTATCACTCCCCCCACCAGGCCCAGAGCTGTGCCTCCCTCAAGTCTCCCCTCCCTCGAGTCCTGCCTCCCTCCGCTCCCTCTGCAGGGGGAGGGGGTCTCCCGGGGCCGATAATTTCCCCCCATTAATCAGGCCGCAGCTAATTGTTCGGGTCCAAAGGCGGCAGCGGAAGGGGACGGGATCGGTAAGGAATTAACTGGGGCCCATCGCTCAGCGCAGACAGGCCCCTTTGTCAGGACTGGCCGGCGGGGGCGGCGCGGGCTGCGGAGTTGGCGAGCCGAGGCTGGGCCGCTTCCCCCACCCACCACCCTTCGGCGTCACCCCCGGCCGCTGCTTCGGGGCGTCGGGCTGCTCAGCACTGTCAGGAAGTCCTTCTTACGGTCTGTCTACTCCAGGGGCCGTAGATTTGGGCACCAAATCTAGCCTCCCTAGAGTTACGAATGTTATTGTATTTTTAAACAGTGTAAAGACCTGAAAGACCATGCTTCCAGGCGTGTGAAATTCGAACCGCAGCGCCCGCCAATGACGTTTCATTGGGACACGGCTGCACGGCTGCTTTCAGCCACAGTGCGGGGCGGGGTGGTTCTGGAGAGACCGTTTGGCCCACGAAGCCTGAGCGTTTCACATCGGCCCTTGACAGAAGTTTGCCCAGCCCTGGGCTCGCTCCTGCTCCTCCCGGAGCTCCAGGGGCTCTGCCTGGAACACCGCCTCCCTCCCACCTCTCCCTCCCTCCTCCTTCCCTGTCTCGATGTCCCGCCCTGTACCCCGACCTCGCCCCGGCAGCCTCCTCCTTCCCTCCCCCTGGATGCCCGTAGGCAGGGTCCTATCTTCGTGGCCTGACTCTGCTCGCCCCCCACCAGGGACGCCGGTGAACCGCGTGCCCATCATGGCGAAGCAGGTGCTGGACCTGTACGCGCTGTTCCGCCTGGTGACGGCCAAGGGCGGCCTGGTGGAAGTCATCAACCGCAAGGTGTGGCGGGAGGTCACGCGCGGCCTCAGCCTGCCCACCACCATCACCTCGGCCGCCTGCCCTCTCCCCAC